GGGTATGTGCTGTTGTGAAGGGTACAGTTTTCACGCAGTTTAGTCTGGGATAAGGTATAGAAATCAGACAGATGTGGTTTAGAATAGGGTATAATTTGCCAGGAAAGTGGGAAGTGTATAAATGATTTAGGCCAGATATAGAACAGGGTTCTTTTTCTGGGGTTCTATAATAAAAACTGAAAAAAAAAACTTCTATAATAAAAACTTTTAAAAAAATCGTCAAGGAGAAGGCCCTGGGGACGAGGTTGGGTCATTATTGCACTGATGGTAAAACCAGTCGTCAGCACACTTCATCAATGAATAAGGTTTATTAGTAACGCTTTACAAATAAGCTATACGTCATGTGACGAAAAAATGGGAAATGTTAACGGACACTCCATTAAGTACTTAAGAAGTTTTGACTCTTATCTTCTCGTAGACTTTATACGTTTTCCAAAAAAAATTAAAATTTCACACCAAAATCAAATAAATTACACATCAGTTGAGAATGCCCACTGTTCACGAAACTCTTTGAAAATTATAGTAAACACAAGTACGTTTAAAATGCAGGCATGGAGAGGAGTCTCCTCCAATGTGGTACAAATTAAAAGTCTAATCTAAAACATGAATCACCGTAGGTCGAAACTGTTTTTTGATCGTAGATATAACAACCAAAGTGGCAGGTGTTCCACACAAACAAAGACACAAAGAAACCTAGTTTGTCCCAGTAGGAACATATGCTTTTCCTAGCGTTATAAAGCTTAATCGTACGTATTTTTCTAGTCGCGTATGATACAAAAGATAAACTCGCTTTGAATGTTTGCAGTCGTCTCATGCAACCTCCACTGCTGCGCCATTTTGCTCCGAGACCGTTGTTAGCTCATTGTCCTTCGAGGCCCTTTTCGTCGGCGATCTTTTCCTCTCGGCCGGCAGTTCTTCTGTCTTTTGTAGCTTTATTCCTGCCCTTTGGTTTGCCACACGAGTGCTCGTTCTCTCCGGTCTAGATCTCTCCTTCTTTCCAGTCTTGGCCTTTTTAACCGCTGGTTCGCTGCTATCTGTCTTCTTCGGTCTTCCGCGCGATTTCTTGGCAGGTTTTTCCGCGTTCGCTTTCTCCTCGGTTGCTGTTTCATGGGCTGATTCGTCGACGCCATGAGCTTTCTCTTCCTCAATCACCTCGGGTTGCAAAGCTGTTTCTTCGCCCGCAGAGCTTTCTTTCGTTTCTTCCGCACTGGGTTGACGAACTTCTTCAGTTGGTGGTTTCTCCTCGGCCATGCTTACTTGCTTTCCCTTCTTTCCTCGTTCTTTCGTGGATTTATTAACCATGCCGAAGACCCTAACGCAACCTTTCGACAAAGACAACACTTGATACAGACAGACAGGATGCGGTATGGTTCGGTGAAAACCACTATAACCGGTTTTCTCCGGTTTCTTTGACAGGAAATCGATTTCACAAATTGATTCTTTGGCCATGTGATTGACAGCAACAAAAGTCGTTTGTGTAAAGAGATTGAATCGAGCAGGCGGTCTTGAAACGCAGATGTTTTGTGAAAAATGCTATTACGTCCACTATTCGTGGGCTGTTCCTCTTAAAGCTGTTTGTAAAACCAACAAACACTGAGACAATTCTTTCTTTGAGAGCAATCTTCTCTGATCTTTGAGTACTGTATTGTCATGTCTGCTGCGCGAGTGCGGGGTTTCCCCAGCAGCACGAAAGTGTCGTTATGTAAGCGCCATCGCAGTGTCCTGAATACATCAAACAACTTTCTGTTAGCCTCCTTTGTGAGACAAGCAAAAATACCAGCGACATTTTGCCTCTTGCCACAGACTGAAGCTAAAAGCAGGGAGACAGGGTTGACCAGAATAACTTTGAAACTTTTTAGTATGTATTTAAACCGACAGGCAAGTTTTCCATTGGGGTAATTCATGGTGGAGAAATACAGTTTACTCAGGAGTTTAGTAGAAATTGAGTTTATGACAAGTTTTATAAACATGGTGTAGGCAATGTATATTTTAAAAATTAATATTAAAACTACATTCAAAATTAATATTTTGAGTGCTTTGGAAGAGCCAAACAGAGACCACAGAACTGCATTACTGTCATGATATGAGTGTTGAATGTGGGATGAAGTGCAGAAACTGATGTTATTCTATGAGAAATTGAATCGCTATGAAAACGGACATTTTCAGGGTACCAAGAACGGTACACCAAATCTCTTTATTTGCATTTCCAACCAAACTGACACCAAACATGGTGCTAACATGGCAATCTGTAATCCCCAAGGATGTGTGGCACATCGGTGTCAGTACCATGTGGCCAGCTGCCCCCTCCCCCCAACTCACCCTGGGTACCAACTTAACAGCAACACTTTTAAGACATGTACAAGTTTGTGTTTTTAATGGCAATTGTACTCATGTGGCATGTCTAATAGGGTCTTTTTCAGATGTATTGTTTTTTTTAGCCACAGCAGTTTTCTTCTTGTTTAATTTCTTAACTTGTCTGGCATTAATTGTCCTAAGTGACTAGTGGTCACACATTTTATACACTTGCACCAGCCCTTACCAATTTTACTGTAGAAAATTTTCTCTTTAGGTGTGAAGGCATTATCATCGACTGCATAGTTGACTTAGCTAGTTGGCTTAGCTATCATAACTATAATCTAAAGGGGAAATACAACTCTGATCAGAGACTATTCTGCAGCTTCAAAATAAGTCTTGCACTTTGGAAGAACTCAGCTGCAAATTATTCCAGCCATGTCGACTCTTCAGGCATTCAATTCATCTCCACCTCCAGATACTACCCAGATTTCTGTAGAGCTATGTCTACTCACCAACATAGAACTTTGCAAGTCAAATCTGAGATGTCTGAAGTGTATGCACAAAGCTAGCTATGTCTGCTGTAAATTGTATCACAAGTTGATAGTTTCACAAGCCATCACTATGGTGTGTTGAAATCGAGATTTGTTGGAGCTACTGGAGACATCACTGCTTCATGGTCAGCAGTTATATTTCCAAGCGACAACTCTTGGGTATAAGCATCAGAACTTTCTCTCTCACTTTCTCCAATTGACCTACTGTTAGAAATCTGCCGAAGAAGGCCTTTTCCCTCTTCTCTGCCCTAATAAAACCACAAGTAAAAAAAGTACATAAATAGGCATAGGGTAATTTTATTACTGAGCATAGACAAAATTGTGAACAGTTTGCTTTGGAAATAAGATAAAGTCTCTGTTGGGTCTTGCCAAAGCTAATCCCAGTTCTCGTCGCATTCACAACTACTCATCCCAGCCCTGTATGCCACCCCTGGATGTATTAAATCTGCCAGGTATCTAGTATGTATATACTTGGGTGGAGAAAGGTAGTTAAGTCTTCAGCCCAAGAATACAATGTAATCACCCCAGTTAGGACTCAAATCTGGACTGCTTGTTATAGGGCAGGGGGGCAGAAGGGAGGGAGGAAAGAAGGAAGAGATGAAAGAGATGGAAAGAGGAAGGAAAGGAAAGCAGAGAGAGCACAAAGAAAGTAAAAGCGAGGACTGCCAGAAAAAAAAGTAGCAGAAATGAAAGATGACTCACTTACCTCGTTAAATTCACAACACTTGTGAGCATACATTTCAGCAGCTTCGAGATTTCTTTTCTTCAGGTTGTATTTTGCCAGAAATAGGTATGCAGAACACAAATCAGCAACTGACAGTATCTGCAACAACAAACAGTGCAGAAAATCAATATTATTTAGAGTTAGTGAATGTCCTTCTAGCACCAACTTTGATATTATCCACACAAAACTTTTTATTCTCTATGCTCTTACCCCAACAACCTCTGTCTGCTCCACATAGCGGTTGTATTGAATGGCTGCATCATCGTCTTCTTGAAGTTGCTCATGCAATCTAAAACCAAAACATACAAAAATCAGCAACTATGAGATTTAATTTTAATGTGGTGAGTCATATATCATGGCAGTAAATTGTTTGTGCCAAACCATCCAACAAAAACTGGAAGACAATAGGTGACATTTTGCACATAGCAGTGGTGAACTCAACATCAGTCATGCAGCTGAAATGGATAAGAGGGATAACCACTGGGTTGGTCTAACAATTCCCATGCAAGGCTTGAAAAAAGTGCCATCCGGCCAGCCAGGATGAGTAGATTCTCTTGCCAGGCAAGTTACTTTTCATTCCCCCTTATCTGATGGGCAAGGGCCCTAGCAAGTTTTCTGCCAAAAATAAGAAAAAGTTAAACTTTGACTTGCCCGGGGCAAGGAAAATTCATGGGCTGATTGTCTGAAGGGTAAGCTGAAATTCAAGTATTATTTTTTTCAAGCCCTGCCACGGCAGGATAAAGAGAAAGAAGTGTGATAACAATGATGACAATCGCAAGGGTAACAAGGGAAACCAGGATGGCCCCCTTTGCAACTATACCCACACCACCCTTACCAACATTACCACCCTTTAACCCCTTGCCACCCTTGTTACCCTTCCCAACCTCACCACCCTTGCAACTAATGCCACCCTAGCCACTTGCGTCACCCTTGTCACCACAGCCATCATTGTCATCCCCACCAACTTTTCAAACCCTGACACCCTCAACAACTTTGCAACCCTTGCTAGCCTTGCTACACTAGCCACCCTTTCAATCCTTGCCACCCAATATATTTAAATTAATGTATTTAAGGCAGTAAAGGAGGCGGGCTGGGGTGTTCAGAGTGGCGGGGGTTACTAGGCTGTCTGAGGGTCCCCAATAGGTTTGGCAGGATGCGGGATTTGGCTTTTTTTCGCCATGATATTCAGGATTTGAGCTGAAAACAGGGGCGGGAAGTGGGAATTACAATTAGGAGCGGGAGCAGGATTTCGTGTTTTTATGGGGTTGGGATGCGGGATTCACAAGGGGAACAGGGCGGGATGTGGGGTTTCAATTCTTATACATCATAAATTGACCAGCGCAAAAGCCCCAAGTTGGGCAGAAATGAACCTTTTGTGTGTACAGCTGTGTCAGGTTTCATGTAATGAGTAGCAACATCTCTGTACCCTGTCAGGTTCAGTCAAACACATCCATCATCACTCGACTAAGTTAGTATCATGAGACTGTAAGAAGTCTTTGAGTCCTATTGCGATCCTCTGACATCAATGACATCTATCCATTTCCCACATCTTCGACGCTTGCGAATGTAATCTTGACCTTCCCCCCGCCCACCGGTCTTTCTAGTTTTTCTAGTCTTTCGACCTTTTCTAGAGCGCTTGTCTTGGCCAGGATGGCCACATTGGGTGGCGGTGATAGTGATTTACCGAACAAAGTACAGTGTATGAGACATTATAAATTGCATCGCCATATACTACGAAAAGTATGTGCAAGCGGGAATGCCTTCATTCGGAAAGAAAAGTTCTGAGCCCAGATTTCAAGGAAAGTGAAGACACTGGAAGCTTTGAAAGAAACTGTCAGGTACGGGCCATCCCTTGAATATGGTAAGGAAAAATCATTTTCTTTCACTGATACATAGACAAGAGAAAACAAAACAGTAACCAGTTTACAGAAAGAAACGTTATAATCATTTGTGCTTACTTATCTGCTACCTATTAAATCTTTTGGTGTTCTTTTATGCGATATCTATTTTTAAAAAGTTTCTGTGTTAATAATTAAATTAATTATTAATTTTAAAAAATTAATAATTAATGCAGAAACGTCTTTGAAAAGTAGGCGGGATCGGGATTTCCAGGCAAAAAAGGGTGGGATGGCGGGATTAACAGTGAAAAATGGGCGGGAAAGTGGGATTTGAGAAGCCTATTGTGGACCCTCCTGTCTAGGATGGCCAGGGTGGTGAGAGTGGCAAAGGTGGTGAAGATGGCAAGGGTGGTCAGGGTGGCAAGTGTGGCTAGGGTTGCAAAGGTGGGATGGGTGATGAGTGTAGCAAGAGAGAGGGTGATGAGGCTGGCAACAGAAAGTATGGTGAAGCTGTCCAGGGTTGTAAGGGTAGTAAATGTGGTATAGGTGGCCAGGGTTACAAGGGTTAAAAGGGTGGCCAGTGTGGCAAGGCTGGCTAGGGTGGGAAGGGTTGCCAAGGTGGTCACGGTGGCCAGCATGGAGGGGGTGGCCAGGGTGGCAAAGATGAAAAAGGTAGCCAGGGTAGCATGGTTGATTAGGTGGCAAGAGCAACAGAGGTGGTGAGACTTCCCATGCATTGTGGCAAAGGTGGCATTGGTGTACAAGGTGTAAAGGACAGTCAGGGTGGCTAGGGTGACAAAGGTGAAGAGGCTACCCATGGCAGTTTGACGAGGGTGGGGAGGGTGGCCAGTGAAGAAGGTGGCCAAGACTGAGGGAAGGAGGGTGGCAACATTACTGTTAAGGGCAGGCAATGTGGCCAGGGTGGCCAGGGTAACGTAGATGATGAGGTTGGCAAGAGTGGCCAGCCAGGTTGCCAAGGTGGGTGGCCAGGTGGCAAAGGTGGCCAAGGTGGAAAGTGTGGGTGAACAGAGTGGCAAGGAAGGCTAGGGTGGTGAGGGTGGTGGGGTGAAGGAAATGCCAACCATGGAGAGAGTGGCAGGGGTGGCAAAGGTTGCTAGAGCCAGGATGTAAGGCCAGAGTGGCAAAGGTGTTGAGTGTGGCAAAGGTGGACAGAGTGGAAAGGGTGGCAAGGGTGGCCAGGGTGTCCCAGGTGATAAGGGTAGCCGGGATGGCCATGGTGGTAAGGATGGCCAGGGTGGCGAGGATGGCTAGGGTGATAAGGGTGGTGGAGGTGGTGAGGGTGGCCAGGATGCCAAGTGTGACCAGTGTGGCCAGGTAGGCAAGTATGGTCAGGGTAGTAAGGGTGGGCAGAAGTCTAGGGTGGTGAGGGTGGCCAGGGTTCCCAGGGTAACAAGGGTTGTGAAGGTGGCCAGGGTGGAAAGGGTGGCAGTGGTGGCCCAGGTCACCAGGGAGGTAAGGGTGGCAAGGGTTCCAGGGTGACAAGAGTGGCCAGGTTGGTTAGGGTGACAAGGATGGCCAGGGTAGCAAAGATGGCCAGGGTGGCCATGGTGGCCATGGTGGCCAGATTTGCCACTGTGGCCAAGGTGGCCAGAAGACCAGGGTGGTGAGGGAGGCCAGGGTTTCCAAGGTGACAAGGGTGGTGAAGGTGACCAGGCAGGCATGGGTGGTGAAGGTGGCCAGGGTGGCAAGGATGGCAAGGATGGCTAAGGTGGTTAGGGTGGTAATGGTTGCCAGTTTTGAGGGTGGCCTGGATTGCTAGGGTGGCCAGAGTGGCCAGTTTGGCAAAGATGGCAACTGTGGCCAGTGCGGTGAGGGATGCAGAAGTGGTGAGGCTGAAAATAGAAATGATGTCATGAAATGTCCAAAACTACATTTATACAGTTTAATAGTGAGTTTGAACATTTCATGACATCATTCCCATGTTCTATAGCAGTGAAGACCTTGGTAAAATGTGGTTGGTTTGTTTAGCAGCTACTAGGTAAGTTTACAATGCACACACACTTTGGAACTACTACTCATTTGATTTGGCTAATACCTTGCCAGCTTTATAACAGCCATTCCTTCCAAATCACCAACTGACATCGCTCTAAAATAGCACTGAAATGGAAATCATTTGATCACAATTGACATGTATTTGACAAGCAGTCACAAACCTACATTGTGTACTCCCAACCCAGGCCATAAATAACTAAATATATTTTTAACCATTTTAAAGTACATCAGTGAGATGATTTGTTACTTACCTTTTTGGCATGTTGCATGTTGTCCAATTTTTCATAACTTTCACCCAAAGCAACTAACATTCTTGAGTCATTTGGCCTGCAAGTAGTTCATTAAGCTTTAGCTTATCAAATCTATACTTATTTCTTTATTGAACTGTACTCAGACATAAAAAGTGAAATACCTGAATTTGTGAGCCTGCCTGTAGTAATACAAACAGTAAAATGGCATCTTAAGGATTTCGTATGTCTGTCCTAGTCCATACCAGGCTCTATAGTCTCTGTAATTTACCTCTATCAAAAACCAAATCAAAACCAAAAATTACAACTATTTAACCTGTTATAGAACAGTTGAGAGTTAAAAATTACAAAAAGTTCATAAAAATCAATTTGAATAACACTATAAAAGAAAACAGTCAAAAAATTAGCATGCACGTATAAATTAAAAATTTAAAGGAAATCACATCTTTTTATGAAAAACCTTTCTAACACTGTAGCATGAGAGCATGTTAAAATTATAATAATATTTCAAAGTCAACAGCCGGCATAGAAAATTACTGATAATTAACAGTCAGTGGCTCACATGTGAATTTAATTTCACCCAAAGAGGATACCCAATTGCAAAAATGTGAAAGCTCCACAGGCTACAGGTACATGGTAATTGGAAACTTCAATAAATAAACTAATGCCAAGGCAATAGAGTACATGGGTGGTAAATTACATGTGTCTCTGGCTGTTGCCTGATAGTTGCCCTTGGAAATTTTATGTTCTAAACATCTACTTAAAAGTCAGAGAACAAATATTTCTTTTTAGAACATAAAGATTTTTGCTTTTGCAGGCAACTAACAGGCCATATGCCCTGGATAGAAACAGTCTATTGTTACAATATTATCGAGTTCTTTGGAAACCTCATCATATTGTTAAAGTTTGAGAGAACTCAAAACTGGGAAACAGGATGCTCTACTGCAGAAGCTATACCTATGGCTTTTCTGTATGCTTCTATAGCAGCTGATGTGTTTTTTCTCTCCATGAATTCATGTCCCATCAGTGTCCATGCAGATGTGTAATGCGGGTTCAGTTTGAGTGCACGTTGGAAGTAGGTGACTGCCTTCTCATGTTGGTCATGAAGGCTGTAGTAATTCCCTGCAAGATATTTGTTTTTTAGCACAACACAATGCTACTTATGGTAAAACCTGTCAAAAAAGACATGGGTGTGGAAGGAGGGGAGGCTTCTGACAAACCATGGACTAATTAAGTTGAGAGAAAAAATTACACCCACAAAAAAGGCTTTTCACATATCAGGGTCCCTTGATCTTACGGATGAATTTGCATGTTGTTGACAAGCACAAAGTAATAAGCTTGTAAGAAGTTTTTGTTATAGGCATGAAGAAAGGCCCCCGCCTATCAAAAATAGCCTTTTCCCAAAATCTCCTCCCACCGCCATACAAGTCCTTGGCTTATGTCCAGTTTTCCCTCTGAAAGAAAAACATTATTTCTCTTCAGGTTGAAAGCCTCCTATTGAGAACTTGACTTGTACAATTAATTATTATGAAATTGCTAAAATATGCTCAGACTTGTGACATTCATTTTTAAGGTGTTTCCTTGAACATTATGTTTAGAAGGCGGTTTCCATGCAGTATTCTTGAAATTAAGCCACTAACATTCTTCTAAGGTGCAACATCCTTTCTAAATATTACAACCAAACTTTTCAGAAAATTAACATGCATTAACTTACTTTTAATGATTTCCTGATAACAAACTCGCCTAATCTTAGTCGATTCTGCTTGAAAAGCCTTTTGAACAAATGGGAGCAAATAAGAATAATTATTGGCTATTGAAGTCAGGAAGGAGAGAGTAAACTAACCTATGACACAACATGTTTCTTCTCTGTACTTGTCAATGCTGTTAGTGTGATGTGCTAGATAACTTAGCTCAGGCTTCATTTCCTGCAAAAAAAAAAAAAGAATGCACTTCATTGTAAGTAATTAGTTAAAATTGCACCAGGTTGTATTCAAATTATAGTTACTAAATGAACAGAAAGAGGGAGATTGTAACTTCCTACCTTGACATAAAGAATATTTGAGTATGTGTCCATGTGCTCTAGAGAATACGGATCTCTCTTTTGCACTTCTTTGAATAACTCACAGGCCGCATCAAAATCTTAGCCAAACAAAAACAACAATCAAAATCTGATTTTTAAATCTGTAATAAGTAAAACTTTGTCAAATCTTGGGTAAGACACGTTAGTCTTGCAATTCTTCCCAACGGCTATGTGTCTAAACGGGTACTGGCCAGCAAATCAATGGTCATGAGCAACTTCTCATGGGTGTGAAAGTTAGAAAAATCACTGCCATGGCTGGATCTGATGATAATGATAGATTAAGTAATGATGACAGAATTTTATAATAAGGACAAGTTATCCCACTCAGATCAACTGTCCATCTGAGATGGATAATTTGTCTGCTGGACAATCTGGACAAATTATGTGCCTGTAGTATCGTTTGCCTCATCTGATTTGTTGTCAACGTATCTTTAAGATGTACTGACAAACATGTCAATCCAAGGACAAATTCTACCAATTTTATATAACTCACCCAAACACTGGACTTTAAATACCTACTTGATGATTTATCCATTCCAGACAGATATTAAATCATGGTCTCAGTTGGATAAATCGTCCCTTACAATTAAAATATCAATTTGGCATCAAATAATTTGGTCTCTAGTAAACATTTTGCCCAAAACTAGGAAGAGTATTGTAAGGCTGCTGTAGTACTCCACAGTCAGAAGCTCGGCTCTATATGTCAGATTTCAGACACCACCCGACAGATTTAAAACAGAGTGCTTCAGTCCATCCACTTGTGAATAACTGTCTAATGATTTAGTTTCTCAACTTAAATTACCTCTGGCATGGTATTGCACCAATGCAGTCTGGAGTAAGATGTACTTGTTTTCTGAAAATCCAGCCTGGCTGAGGTTGGCGTACCTTTCCAAGCCTTCTTCATTCAACTGTAGATCAATGGCTACATTTGCTTGGAAAAATTGAGCCATCCAGTGGGAGGGGAGGGTCAGTGATTGAAGCTACAACAAAAACAAAAGCATAGTGTGTCAGGTGAGTCAGAAAAATGGGAGAATAAGAAACTTTAAATCATAGCTAGCACGGTTAGACTGATTATCATAAATCCTTGAATTAGCACCCGGGGCGTTTATTTCAAATTTAGGAGAAGACAGGGGGCGTTTATTCATGCGGGGCACTTATTTAATTTTTCCCAAATTGTGGCCTCACATGATCATTTTTTTGATACATCATCCTGTGTAAACAACAACACAAGCTGTTTATCAACATAAAAAGCTGATCCTAAAGTTTAACTCACGGCACTTAACATGTTCACAAACTTAGACAATGTAGAAATATAATACTACACGACAAAAACCATGCATCCTTTGTTGTCTCATTACTCGTCCACAAAATGGGGGGAGGGAGGGGGCACTTATTTGAGGGGGGGGCTTATTTTAAATTTTGCCCAATAGAAGGGGCACTTATTCGAAGGGGGCACTTATTCGAGGGGAGAACTAATTCGAGGATTTATGGTATCTGCAGCCAGTTTTTTTTATAATACAATTACATCTGCCCTCATGATAGATCTTGGAACACCTTTTCTAAATAAGGGTCAGAGAATCTTGGTGTAAAATGGAAGGTACGAAATAACCTGAAGACTTGTTTGGAATTATTTAATTAGTAGAAATATTAATACTAATTATACCAATTTTTTCTTTCAACTTTTCCTTCTTTATAACCTACCCACTTTCCAACAGATCCAAGGAGATAGGAACTCAAAAACTAATTAACAAGGGGTTGGCCTTTAATATTTGCTATGGCTATTGTCTATCTTTGCCCTGATATATATGGTTCTTTCACACTACATTTTGATGAGATTATCAATAATCAGAGTTAACTGGGAGATCTGCTGTTGGCCAGCAAATGATCGCTGTGGGCATGCATAGTTGTGCCATTGCTGTGCAGTTTCACCCTCGTGGTTTTGCTCTGCCTTGCTTTGTCACTTTGCCTTTGGTTTGCTCCATCCCACCCACTCTTGGTTCATGGTGGGCTCTTGTGTCTAGGTGAGTATACTTATTCTCCACTGAGAATTCAGTGTGACAGGTGCCAGGGGGAGGTGACCAGTGGGAGGTTGCCATGGATACCCCCTTTATTTGCATTTTGCCCACACTTGCTCATTGCCTGCTTTGCTGTCAATTAGCACCTACCCTCCATTTTGAATATTGCTTATCAACAAGTTAACATACTATAAATGTGAGTGACTGTTGGGATACTTATGAGTAGAATCAACTTCCTTTTAATTAGTTATCTTTGCACAACATACATATGTGCCTCCTACATGCTCAACGAAATATGTGTACCTACATGCCAATTAGATCAAGGTCATACTGTAGTTTAAGCACAATAGTCACTTACAACTTCCTTGTCAGAACAAAGAGATGAAAGCTCCAGCCACGCCCCCCAGTGTAGCGGTTCTTTAGTGACAGCTTCCTGTATCACTTCTAAGGCATCTTCTCTCAAATCAAGTTTCTTAAGTACAACACCGTACCTTAAAGATGTAAGCTAAGGAATCACTCTGCTTTTAAAAGAATTCCCAACCTACATGTATGCACATGCTAATATATATTCACAATGACACTTCAACTTACAAATATGCAACAATGTTGCATGGCAAGATGAAAGAAAACTTCTCATAATATCTTACATGTACATCTTTAATATTATCATGAGGTCTAAATTTACAGTCAGAACAATTTCATAACACAATGCTTTCTACTTACAAGTAAAGACAGAATCCATCCAATTCTCTATGTTTCTTGTACAGTTCAGCTCTCAGGGAAGTCAGAGCCTGGTTCTGCACATTTTCTTGTGGGCCTGGAAAAGCAATATTCCCACACATAGGCAACTAGCATTGTGTACATGCATGTACCATGATTATGAAGAATCTGGTCAATTCATGGTTTGTACCAGAGGGGATGTTTGGTACAGTCAAACATCCAATTCCCTGTGTTTCACCTCTCCAAAATGGCAACGGCCACTAAAGCATGTCCCAACTGTCACGACAGCCTCTCAACAATGCCCAGTTAATGAACAACAGTACTGATGAACGGCGGGTGTATACAAAACCTCATTTTTTATTGAACAAGGTAATGAATCTTGATCCATACCATGGGTCATTTGTCACTGTTTCTGTTTGGTTTCTGTTTTATGGAATGTCAGATATATATTTTGATTGTGTAACATATTTACATGCTACAATGAGCATTGATTTTTAGAGCATAAAAACATTGAGTCCCACAACAAAACCAGTGTCACATCACACTCCCTCCCCATAATGGCCACTTCTCTACAACGGTCATTGTGCTCTGTCGCCAAGGTGGCCATTGATTGTGGAGAGCTTCAACTGTCTTACAAAATCACAAAGTTAACACACACACACACACAAAAGGAAATTTGATCCAGTTAATACAAATTTGCCATGCAGCATTTCTCATAATTTACTCAGACCCTATGTAACCAACGCCAACATTATAAAAGGTCAAAACTGGCTCAAGATCTAGACCTTGTGCAGATTTACATATACTAGAATCAAATAGCAGACAAGTACAAGTTGTTGTAACATTTCACGACAAGAACAAACAAAAGCAGTCAAAACTTGTTTATAAATAAAAATTCATTAAGTAAACAAGTTTGATTGGGCATCTCATTAATGGTTGCTTTTCGAAGTATGGTGTGGAACAAAGGAAAAATCAAAATTCTAATAAATAAATATACATTATTTAAGGCACAACATCAGATTAGTCAAGAAGAAGCCCATTTGTTACCTAAAACATCCATCATTTTGTCATTCTTGTGTTTCTCACCAGCCTAGAAAAACACAAACAAATTGACCAATTTTGTATTCTCAGTGGACTGGATTTAGCTTGCAATGGAGGCTCATGTGGGGAAATATCATTAAAAAGAGATTAATGTCATTTGCATTTGCAAAGATTGCCCGCATTAGCCTCAGTTGCAAGCTAGTTCCAGTCTAATACCAAGAATTCATACAAAAATGGTCTATTAAAATGTATCAATTAAGAAGCTTTTTTGGCATTTTTAACCCACTGGTTTTCAGGTTGCCAGTATTTAATTAACCTTTTAAGGTTACCGTAAACCTTCGTGGGTGTCCTTAGCGAAAAAAAATATTACCACGCTGTCTTAAAGACAACCACTACAAATTATATATCAATGCAAAGGTTATAGAATGCTCTATTCGATAAAAATTGTTTTGCCTCAATTTTTTTAATCATAAGGCGAGTGCAACCTAAAAGCGCGAAACGACCGACGTTCCATTGAGCGAATTTATCGGGTATCAAACTTGACCGCATCAACAAAGCTACTGCATTATATCATTCACAAGGCATCAATCATCAAAACCGTGTGAGGGTTTGTTGATATTCCTATTGGTTGTTTTGGAAAATTTCTGTCAAGTTTGATGTCCAAAAATACAGCGACACGTTTTACGACGAAGGCCATTGCAGGAGATCAATTTTAAAAAACGCAAATCCCCCACACGGTTTTGATGATTGATGCCTCGTGAATGATATAATGCAGTAGCTTTGTTGATGCGGTCGCATTTGATACCCAATAAATTCGCTCAATGGAACGTCGGTCGTTTCGCGCTTTTAGGTCGCGCTCGCCTTATGATTAAAAAAAATTGAGGCGAAACAATTTTTATCGAATAGAGCATTCTATAACCTTTGCATTGATATATAATTTGTAGTGGTTGTCTTTAAGACAGCGCGGTTATATTTTGTTCGCTACGGACACCCGCGAAGGTTTACGGTAACCTTAATTAACTGTAATCAATTTGTAAGAAGGGTAAAATAAAGGATGTTGTTGCTGTTGTTGTTGTTGTTGTTGTCATGAAATATATACCATACCAAGGATTACTTGGAGAGTCTTTGACTCAGACATTTTTTATTTAGTTATTTATTTATTTATCGTTTTTTTTGTAAAATTGCCCATAGACCTAGTCTCCAGCAATGTGACTGCCTGTGGGGTACTCCCATATACAAATGTAGATGTATAAGTTATATAGGTAAGTGCCACCGTGAAGAGTACGATTTAAAGGTAGTTTAGTCTGAGATAGGGATAGAAATCAGACAGTTTTGGCCTAGAATAGGGCAACTACAATAGTGATGATGCGTCTGCATGGAAAATGACTAGTGTGGGATAGGGGAGGGGTTTTTCGTGCCTAGTCTAGAATAGTGTTGCAAACTTAAGCTGATCATGGTCTAGTATATACACTGTTGGGTAAAGGTTTCAGTGTTCCAGCAGCACACCCCCACCCAAAGATAATTTACAGAGTACCCTTCCCTGTGCGGTGCAGCTGCATCACTTTGTGGCTTATATGCTTATCTGTCAAATTAAATTGATGAAATGTTCTACTAGGTATCTTTAAATTTCAGACGGTAAATATGCCAATAATTCCTGGGCTTATACCATCTGACTTTACTCACCAAGTAACGTGAATACATGTACAAGAAGTACGCTTTGTGACTGGTACAACCATCCAGGAAGAAAGCTGCTCTGTCAAATTCTTTAAGATCAAAAAATGTTTTCCCCAGAGTATATCTATCAAAGTCTTTCACAAATTGTGGATCATAATAATCAGTTTTTGGGAGATGATCAGATGATGGGAAGGATGGAATAGAAAAGGCCAACTCTGCAGACCTGTGGACATAAAAACAAAAAGAAGGACAGAAAAGTTGAACATTTCATCTACATGTAAGTGGTTAGTTTCTATAGCAGTCAGTGTAAAATGAAGACTGTGGACTGCAGACTGTAGACTGGGGTAAAATGCAGACTGAGGGTAAAATGCAGGTTGCAGACTACAGACTCTCAGTTAATCGTGTTACCATTTCCATCATTGAAAGCTAAGTGTAATCAGGCTAACCAGAGTGTTACAGGTAATATTAAGTCTAACCTGAGTGATATTCAAGCTAACCAGAGTGCAGATTTGCACTGCAATAAGCCTGAATAATCCTGTTTATGGTTAAAACTATGCTTGTTCGTGCCAACTGCCTCTCTTTTAACTGGCCCTACTTTTCCAAGGAATGTGTTTGGCTCAAAATGGTGTTTTCTTGACTGAATTTCCAAGACAGGTTAATTAATTCCACCATCTCATGCTTTACTGCAGTCAAAGCTTATGATCAATCTGTTCCCGAATTACCACCTGTTAACAATGAATTAGATCCTGTTTGAGTTCTGCTGCCATTTAAAGACCAGGCTTCAGCCGACATTGTACAAGCACAGCTCAAAAATCTGAGCCAGAAAATTCAAATGACCGTCTAGCCAAACAACATCTGAAACTGCACAGAGTCAAGCCGTCTGATGTCCACCAACAATCCCTTGTTTATCAATTTAATGTGATCTGTGTGATGCAGGTTACGTTGGTTACACACAGCGGCATTTGCGTCGACGCGTAGATGAGCACAAGAATGCATCTTCCTCCAGTAGAAACATTTGCATGTGAAACATTCTTATGTGCCCAAGGATCTTAACAAGAATTAAAATTACCATCTTAAAAAAGTGCAAGAGCAAGTTTGACTGTCTCATTTATGAAATGTTTTTTATTAATGAACTGTAATGTACAGTCAGACTCAATGTGTGTGAAAGTCTTAAATCATTTTAATTATGTTATTTTTGCATGCTTTTTATTGTTTTCAACACCCTTTTTAACATTGTCATACTTAACATACTTTTACTTCTTTGCTTTATATTTTATGCTTATGCAAAAATTTTTATCCTCACTTTTAAGCTTGATAATGACTGAAGTTCGGTCAAAATGTCACACACTTTTACCATTAGTTTTTAAAGAACCTTTACTTATAAAAACAAAAACAAACCAGAAAATTATGCATGTACACACTTGCCATATTTGTAGAGCGTGGTATAATAGCTCACAAACTACGATGGCATATATGATGGCTAAGCCAGTGAAAACTCTTGAATAATTTGCATTATCCAGTAATTCAGTTTTAATAAAGTTCATACTTACAGCACTTCTCAGAAAGAATGAAAACTTTAAAACATATTTTGCGGGGAATTGCACTGTAGCAATTACAGTGCATTTACTGAAACCGTGGCCACTCAGACAATGAAAACCAATCAGATAGCAGAACTAAAACAATAGATTCCAACATTTTCAAATCCAGCCAATCATATGTCCTGTTTCTAAATCCAGCCAATCAAATGTCCGATACAAAACAATGAAGTCTCAACTTGTTTGTCGTGATGCTTACGCGACTACAGTGTCACTTATCAATGAATTGTCAAGCTTAAGCCGTTAGTACTTTCACATGCTGGCAGGTTTAAGAAGAATTGAATTTTATGCTGCACTTTCTGTACGTGATCACTGGTTTGTTTTGTACATGAAAAGAAAAGCTGTGTAAGAATGTCACTCGTAAATATATATTGCTAGTAGAGTGCATGGTGTAGGGTTTGAATGTTGTTGCAGCTGTTTAAAAAAAAAGCTTTAATGGTCTCTGTGAAAGGAAGACTCCTAGCTATGGCACCATCTTTTGTTTTTGCCTGAGTGATTTTACACTCTGAGGCTTTGAAAGTACAACGCAGACAAAAGTTCGTTTGAATTTTCGATGAAGATGATATTTCAATACACTGATAACCCAGAAAGGTAGCTCAAACTCCGAAATGAACAACTCCTGAGACAGTGAACGCGACAGTTTTTCCAAGAACTGCGGACAACAGGAGCGGAATTTATTTTGTAAAAAGTGTCAAAATTTATAACATTATTCTACGATTTTAAACGACAACTGTAAAGATGATGTTTGTGTGGCCATACATTCACGGTGGAAAATGGTCAATCTAATGAATTTATCACGGTTGTAAATGTAAAATCTAAAGTAACACAATAAGTTCTAACACGAAAGTACTAACGGCTTGAGCTTGAGACAACGTAGTCACGAGCATCACAACGAACAAGTTAGATTTCATTGTTTTGTACCAGACATTTGATTGGCTGGATTTGAAAATGTTGGAATCTATTGTTTCAGTTCTGCCATCTGATTGGTTTTCATTGTCTGGGTGGCCCAAGTTTCAGTAAACACACTGTAACCATAAGTTCAACACACTAAATATGCAATATCTAAACGTGATGACCATCAAATAGTTATTAAAGAACCTAGCCATGAAGACACGATTAGCACCTAAAAGCAAACTCTGGAACACCAACTTGAAACCGGTCAGTGTAAAACGCAGACTGTGGACTGCAGGTTGCAGGCTGTAGCCAGTAGTAAAATGTAGACTGAGGATGAAATCCAGATTGCAGACTGGGGGTAAAATGTAGACTGCAGAATTTTCAATTATATACCGTGTTATTTCCATTATCGAGTGTTAAGGTGGCCGAACACAGTTTTCAGGCACACTCTTGCTATTAGGTGGCTCACTATCGTTTTACGATTGCATGCACGCATAGGACGAAAGCTCAAGAATCCACCTGCGTTCAAAGGAAAACGTAAGTGTTTTTTCGATTTTTATGACGTCAACATGAGGACAAAAAGCAAAACTGACATTTAATTTTCTCGAGTTTCCTTCAGTGAATTTTTTTTAAATTTGGCTCAGTTGTAACCACATACAATTGCTATAAAATACCCTATTTATGTTAAAATCTGTCAGAGCTAATCTAATATATTTAGAAGAATGACAAATTACAGAATATTGGAAAAACAGTCTGAACAACCTTGACTTTTTACCAATTCAAAATGCCAGGCAATATCATTTCCATGATGTGGCAAAGTATGAAAAAATTGCACTGAAGGTAAGTATAAATATTGAGGAGTTTCGGCCAAAATGAGAAATATATCTGCCTGTCATTAGATGAGCTGTTGCCATGGTAATGGCCTTGATCCAAAAATTGGCAACCAAAAAATGAGCCTTATTTTAACAGTACCCATACCAGTAAATCTCTACAGGGAAAGCTTTAAGAGAAATTAACTAAGTTTCCTTTTCTAACTCGCGTTCTATAGGGAGGGTGTTCGTAGATACTCTAGGGAGCCACCATACCTGCCAACCCCCAGAGTACAAAACCTGGAGGCAATCCGGCATCCATGCTGGCCATCTTCGCTTCGACTGATGTAAACAGCGTGTGAAAACCACGCCAATATTGTACCATGTATTGTGCAACTTGATTGGTTGATTTCTGACCAGTTAGGATACTCGTTAAATATACATCAATTTGATTGCTCTGTTTTATGTCGTCCAATCGAGAGCAGCTCAAATAAGAGCAACTAATTTCCTTCTTGTTTTGTTTTCCTTTTGGAAATCTCGAAAATAACAAAATTAATAAAAAAGGAAAATTAAAAAGAGCCACGGTAGGTAGTTCCCGGGAGATTTGATGAGAAACTTGGAGACTCCTGGGAAAACCGGGAGAGTTGGCAGGTCTGAGCCACCTTAACCTCAAACAGCTTTATTCAGGTTAATCGCAGTGAAGGTCTGCGCTCCGGTTAGCCTGAGTATATCACTCAGGTTAGCCTAAATAAGCCTCCGGTTAGCCTGTTTACGGTTAGCTCTCAATGATTTTAACAGGATTCGGTTAAAGTCTACAGTCTGCAGTCTGCATTATACCCACGGTCTGCAGTCTGCGTTTTGCACTGACACTGACTGACCAGAATCGTCACATTTTTTCGTTAACCAAGATTGAGAACTCCGTAAAGGTTACCTTTGGAATCGTTTTAATCTTACCATTTAGCACTGTGAAGTAACCCTCTCTCGGAACATTCTTTCACCGCGTGAAGAAGATCTCGTTTGATCTCCGGTAGACAAACATTCGACACGGCCGCCATCTTGTTTTCAAAAACCCGCGCTCAGAGCAACGGTCGGGGACTGAGACGGGCTTTCAATATTTTTTTCCTTTCTTCTTTCGTTCGATTTCCCTTCCTCCCTTTATTCTTTAAAGCAGGTATTCCCCTGGCCGTATTCCACGAATTTGGCCGTTAACATTGTAAAATTCCACAAGTTGTGTTTAGTAGCAAGGTTAGCAAGGGAAATTCGGGAATTCTGGCAACGTAGAAAACAGGAAAACAAAGGAGAACATTTTATATTATTTTCATGCAATTTCCCCCTCTTCAAATTCCAGCAGGCCATGATGATAAAACCCGATAACGAGAGAAGGAATAACAGAAACTACAGCGTAATAATCATTTTATCAGTTGTAATGGAAAGGATATACGATGATTATCCCCTAAAATAGCTACAAAGTAAAAAAAAACAAAAATGATAGAAAACAACTACAGTCGAACCCCGGGGGGTACTCCCAGAAAAGTTGGGTTGAGGTGTGCGGCCCGCTTCCCAAAACCCTTACCCTATTTATGACCAAAATCTGCTATATTCCCTACCCTATTTATGACCTGACCAAATATTCGATACCCTATTTATGTCTGTTTCAGACCTGCGTTATAACAAGTACCCTAGTTCAGACCAATGTTAAATTACCGGGATAATTTGTGAAGGGGTTTTGTCAATTTTCTTTTTGATAATGATGAAAAAGAGGCTTCTTCTTAAAAATATACCCATATCAAGGCTAGGGTGCAAAAACCATACCCTATTTATGACCAATATGGCCAAAATAGGCTAAAATCGATACCCTATTTATGACCAAAACGGCTGAAAAACCATACCCGTTAAGGCCGCACATACCTATAAAGCTCATATAAGGGAGTACGCCCCCCCCCCGGGGGGGTTCACTACCGACATTTTCATCTAGGGCGGGTTTTAATTCCCGTATTAACACTGTTTCCTTGATTTTACACTGTAAATCACATTGACCACTTGCTAGGATCTCAAAATGGTGCCATTTGATGCTGTGACCGTAAGAGGTTGAATGATCAGCAACAACGGAGGCGTGACCAACTTGAGTGAGAGCTTTGAAGTGCTCCGTCTTTCTGTCATGCAATCTTCTTTTGGTTTTACCAATGTAGAAAGCATCACTATCCCAGGAACTGGCTTTGTAGACAATCTTCGATTTCTGCGAGCAGTTGAAACGATCTTTGTGAGGAAAGAAAGACTTCATTCTGCGAGTGTTCTGAAAAATATTAACCCTGCGGTTGACGAAATCATAAAACTTATTGACACAAGATTTTAATCGGCGTGTAATATAGCATCGCTATGGCAACCTAAATAAGGTAAAACAAGGATTACATCTTTCTTGGAAACTGCGAGAGTAGGTTCTGAAGGTCTGCCCTTATTTTTGTTCAGTACATCATTAACGTTGTAATTAATAACGCCTCTCGGATAACCATTTTAAAGAAAGGAATTCTTCAGATCAGATAGAGTCGACTGCAATAAAGTGGATTTTGAACAAATGCGTAAGCAACGATAGGCAGGGGCGCAGCTAGGAGGGGTCCTGGGGTGCCCGTGACCCTCCCCCCCCCCTTAATAAGCATTTTTTAAGAAAACAGCCCACACAAGATTGCGAAAACGACATGACAATCTGCTGAGTACCCTCACTTGGACACAGTGTGACCCCCCTTTGAAAAATCCTGGCTACCCCCTGGATAGGTAAGTGTTCGGATTAGATTGCTCTTATACTTTCTGGGAGTAAAGGAGTCCCACTTGGTGTAAAGACCAGTGAAAGTCTTTTTGTGGTGTACAGTAGTTGAAAATGTATTGTGATCACGCTTGATACAGACATCCACGAATGGGATCTCTCGGTTCTCTTCAAGTTCTATGGTGACTGAGATGTTGGGATGTCTGCTGTTGAGAAAATCTAGAAATCTGGTGGCGGTGTCTTTACTGTCAAATAAGGAGAAAGTGACATCCACATATCTAATCCAAATGGACGGTCGCGACTGATTATTAGCCAACCAGCTCTCCTCAAAATGACATATAAAAATGAAAGATGTAATCCTTGTTTTACCTTATTTAAGTTTCCATAGCGATGCTAGTACACGCCGATTAAAATCTTGTGTCAATAAGTTTTATGGTTTCGTCAACCAGGGGTGGCGAATGGTAAATGCGAGACCGCGCGAGACGGCGAGACAAGCGTTTTCCTCTGCGAGCCCGAGACATATAATTTTGACATTTTCAATTGCGAGACCGAGACTTCAAAGGGTTTGACGTCCGAACGCAAGACGTTCAGACTCTTAAAATTCGGGCCCCAGATTTAGTTGAGAGCTAGAAAGAGCTTGTGCAGCCTTTTAGCCAGCTTCTTCAAACTGGCTGGAACTGGAAATTCGATTATAACACACTACGTTATGATATGGTAGAACAAAATAACTGCTTTACTGGAGCCAAAACGGACGTTGCGAGAGGTTCTGTAGCTTTTTGTGGAACAGACAAGTTACAAGAAGTTAGGATTAACTTTTTCTCGCAAATCTGTAAGTTGCTTCATTGAAATTCAATGTCAAGTGAAGAGAAGACGTCATTTATAAAACCTGAGATAAACG